CCCGTTCCTCTCTAGGCTCAGCTTGTAACTGGCTGGGCCTGGCCTGACTTTCCCTGTCGATGTAGACTGGAGATTGGCTCTTTTCTCCAGCTCAGCGGCAGCTTTCCTGTTCGCCTCTCCTTGAGCCTTAGTCAGGTCGGCGGCTATTTTCTCCGCCTCCTCTCGCACTTTGTGGCTTCCCCAGTTGAGCGCGGGAGCGTTGCCGCGTCTCCTGGAGTCATCCTTCTCCTTATCTTTTGCATCCTTTTTTGAGGTTTTGGTGGTTTTTGGTTTGGATTTGGTCATATTGGCAGAGATTTTCGTCCTCCGGTTCGGCCATCATGGCACCCTCACCTCGGTGAGGGATCTTCCCCGGGAAAAACAAACCCTATTTATGGGGTGGGAAGCAGAGAAGCTGCTTGTCGGGGAGCCACCCCTATCCCACCCTGTGACTCTATTAAAAAAGGTTCCTGGAGAGGGCCAGGTCCACCATTATGCAAAAGGTTTATGCTCACCCCAGGAGCAGAGCGCGCACCGTACCGACTGGCCGCATACTCTGCTCCCGGGCTAGAGCTCGCGAGAGAGCTCCCGAGAGAGCTCCCCCCCCGCAAGGGTATGAGGGGTCTGCTGGCTATGCAGCCCCTCCATACACGCGCCCGGCATGTTGGCTTCAACTCCCGGCTAGGCTCCAGACGGACGAACGGGAGCGGTTTTCCCACGTTAAACTTGCCGCTTCCTGTGGTTTTTGCCGGAATACACCGGATTTACGCACCCACATAGTCCACGGCAGAGGTCAGGTACCAACGTCACCGCTCGTCCCCGGTCGGGGGGTTTACTACTCCCCCCTTGGTTAGTCTCCGGGAAATATCCGCCAACAGCCGACCGCGTCCCAAGCACACACACACGCGCACTACCGGTCCTCCGCCCTCCACGACCAGCTCCGTACGCCAGGCCGCACGCCCCAGCAACGGGACGTCGGCCCCAGACGCAGGGACTGACCGCTTCGTCACGGAGGACCGGGTGCTGGCCGGCATGCTTGCCGGCCAATATCACCGGACCACCGAGCCCTGCCTGGGTGTACGTCCCAGCGGCCCCGGCGGTCCCCAGGTGATCGGGCCCCGCCTCGGAAACGTCCGAGCGGCCCCGATCCCCGTCTATCTGGCAGCCCTCCCAGGTGGCTAGCCCAGGGTCTGCCTCTCCCCACCGGAAAGATCGGACCATGTCCGATCCAACCGCCGGGGAGCCGCAGCTTCCGGCCCACCCTTCGGCTAGGACCACGTCCCAATACCTCCGGGGTCCGACTCTCCCCCGCCCGCGAGCAGGTCCACGACCAGCTCGTTGACGGAGGAGCTCCCCTTGCCACCGCCCCCATGCCGGAACACCGGCGTGCAATGGGTGACGGTGGCCTCCCCCGAATCCCAGCCGAATGCCGGAGCGCCGGCACTCCGCTGCGACTCCCGCCCTCTCGCCCAGGCCCCCCACCGATCCCTGTCGGGAACCGACAATGAGACCGGAGGGGAAACCCAGGTACTGGTGGGGAGAGCGCGCCTCTCCTTATCGGCCCCAGCAGCCGGAGGTTTGAAGTCAGGGTACTCATCCCCTACCGACGAGTGGTCTCGACCCTGTCCTCCCACAAGGGAGGACAGTGCCGAGACCGGAGTCGTCGGGCTCCCTGCTTCCCCTGTTCAGGGGAAGGGTAGGCTCTTAGTCGACGAGCGCCAGTCCCGGAGACCGCCGGTGCCTAAAACGGCACTCAGCGGCCTCCAGACCGACGCCCGCCTACAAGCCCCCTCACCACGACAAGGTGGCCCACCACGAGGGGGACCATGATCTGACCTGCGTGGCTAATGTACTCAGTCAGTTCTTCCTCATCAATGCCGTTTTCTGACTGTTCTAAAAGTAAAGTGATTGCGGCTCCCAGAGCGACTATAGCAGTCCCGACACAGTTTTGTGTTTTTACAAAATGGTCGTCTCGTTGTTTAGGAATTCCTTTGCATAATGGGAGCACATCCTCGTTTAGTTCGGGTGCCTCCATGTAAAGTTCCCCTTTTCTATCATAGCTTTCGAGGATTTCTGTTTTATTTTTCTCTGGAAGACCTTCCTTCTTCCACTTCATCCATGTGTTTTTTAGTTCCGGATGGAAGCTAATCTTTTTGAATTTTAAATCGCTGGGGTCCGCTCCGAGTACTTTCAAGGCTTCATTATTTGTTGCCTGTTCTGGGGTGTGATCCGAGTTTATAACCTCTTTGACCACCTGAGCCTCATTAATATCTGGCGTCTTAGCTACACTTGGTGACTGATTCTCCTTGTCCTCAGTTCCTAGAGAAAAGAAAGGACATTCTTAGGGTCGCACTTATTGTGCCTTTATGGTAATTTTGTTCTTATTGAACTCAACCAACACCCTTTAAGGTCTTATTGACCAGACAAAACCGTATGGGCTTGTCCCTCGCCTTTCGTATGGAAAGCCAAGGTAGATGTCGAGGCGTATAATCACTTTTGTGATTTACTTACCAACCGCCTCGGTCCGTGAATCTGCGTTGGGTGGGGCCTGTGCCCCTTGAACAACGACTAGTGTCTCTACCACCTTTGTAAGGTTATCTAATCTTTCTTGCAATTTTTCGAGTTTTTCCTCGTTCCTGCTCCTCTTATGACGACTCCTCGACCTCGATCTGGGACGGCTCCTCTTTTTCTCCTTCGACATTTCCGATTAGATGATTAAAAAAAGGCTGGATTCTAATTTGACTTGTTACGCGCAAGAAAAACGTCTCGATGTTTCGGCACAACGAAACAATATGAAGGAAAGGGCCCAGGAGGTGTGGTGGAAGGATGGTGGAGGGCGCCACCTTCTTTCAAAGGCGCGCTAAACGTTGTGATGTTAGGCATGGCAGGCATGACTACAATACTATCATCGAGAACGAGACACACAATATAATGTCGACTTTAGGTCGACTTTCAGTCTATAGTTAAAGTCGACAATAAACCATCCTTTAGATAGTAGACTAAATGTCGACTTAAAAAGTTGACTTCAAGGTGACTAAAAAATGTCGACTATCAGCCGGCAAACAGTCATTTGTGCTATGTGGGTATGTACCTTATAATATATATCGTAAATTAAATTTAAACTTGATGTAAAAATCGATAGGAATTACGCACTTAAAAAGCTATAATTCAATTCTCTTACCTTTTTAGGCTTTTTAAAACGTAGGCATTTAACAACGCACCACAACACGTACTGATACTTGTTGAAGAGTCTGCTGTTGGAGACCAACTAACATGAAAATCAAATATCGCCATCTCAAAGAATAAGTAAAAAACCTAACACGTGCAATTGTCTTTTGTCTTTTGTGATACATGCCGCCTACCGCCAAGCTCTTAAAAAGCGGCCGCGGTGCCGCGCGCGGTATATCACAAACACTTTGCGCCCTCAGATAAAAAATCTAACGGCGCCGAACGCTCGCCATTGCAAATGGTACCGACAATAAGCGCAGATGAGTAATATACATAGGAATAAAATCGCTGCATTTCAATTTTTTGTTAAATGTAGTCCAGTGATTTTGCCGCCCCCCTGAAAGTGCCGCCTGATGCGGTCGCCTGTTTGCATCATAGCACCGCACGGCGCTGCCCCCTCCGCAGGGGGGGCGGAACATACTGTCTCCACGCATGTACTTCCGCCGTTGTACTGTTCCACATGGGTTTGCGACTATCCACGTGAAGCGAGATCCACTCCACACCTCGGACATAGTTTGGGTAGTGTTATATTTTAACGAGGTGGAGCCCCCCGTACGGGGGGGGGCGGAACATACTGTTTCCATGCATGTACTTCCATGGCTTACGACAGATGGAGATGAGAGGAGAGATATTAGATTTTAGAGTCCATCATTTTTTTGAAAATTATTACTCGCACAGTAAAAATGAATAGAACATAATATGTATATTTCACAGAGATCTACAACTTTTATTTAAAACATTTTTCAAAATTTGTAATATTTGTGTCTGAAAATTACATATAATTGGTCGACATTGTTTTTTAAATATCTTTTTAACAAACAACGAGCGACGGCTAAAACCTTCTGAGGGTTACTCAGGAGGGTAACCTTGACAACATATGTCAAGGTCAAGGTCATCGGAGCTGACTCCCCTATAGTCAATATTTACCAAATTCAACAATATTACTTTAATACAAACATTTTACCTGTGATTTTGTGTAATACCGAGTATTATATGTATAATACACCATGTAAACATATACATTATAGTATAAGTAATAAATAATATTAAATTGTTACTTATATATATTTTTTTATTACTTTATTATAGCTGTATATATGATCTAACCTGGATTATTTGCATCATGTCTACCCCTTACAAAAAGTACATTATAAATATGGTTTTTCTTAAATAATTAATACTGGGTAAATAATGTTACTATTTGTATTTTTAATTTCTTGAAAAGTGAAATCATAAGAAAACATGATAATTCATGCGGAAAATTTTAACGGTTTTCTTTAAAAATATTATTTTATATTCACTTTAACATTATTTTAGTATTTTTCACTAAATACTAAAATTATAGTTATAAAAAGTAATTAATATTTTTAAGGGAAGGTAACAAGATACCGCATTAATTATTATGATTTCATATAAAATTTAATTTCAAGAAATTAAAAAATGTTTGTGCGTGAAAGGTATAGGGGATCGTGGAACTCAAGAAATGAAATTGATGTTTGTATCTTAGTCTATTAATAAAATGTCTATATACAGGGTGTCTGATGCAAAAGTAGCCAACTTGAAAATAGTGGTAGACTGGGTTAAACTAAGAAGAAATGTCATGTGCCGCGGTACAAAAGTAACAATAGTTATCGAGTAATTAATTTACACGTTTGAGCGAATGAGGATGCAGGAGACGGTAGGCCAGACTCGGAAGGCATTTAAGAAAATCGATCGATGAGCGGGAGGTGGAGCGACGCGCGAGATACACCGTGGTGGGAAGAAACCTAGATGTTTCGGCGGATGTATCGTCGCCACGATAATATCGCCCTTCCTTTCGGAAGAAACGAACCAGTCTTTTCGCGTAAATAAAACTCACACACACAGTTGTACTATGAACTTTATTGTCGGCCAGTGAATCGCCTCGCTACCGAACTCGTGCGAGGGCGAAAGCGAACTCTCTCGACGCAACATGTCGTCGCTTATACCTATAACAAAAAAAACCAAAACCGAGCGTGCTCTCCGCATGCACGCCGCTCGTCGCGCCATCCCTGGCCGGGCCGATTTACATGGACGCCGCTTAAAGTAGCAATCGCTACACAACTTAGCCGTAACACTAGACGTGGCGGGAAGCACGGCGCGGGCGGCGAGCGCGGCAGCGAGCGCGAGCAACGGGCGACCCGAAATATAAACATAGTATCTCGGGCGTCGCTCCACCTCCCGCTCATCGATCGATTTTCTTAAATGCCTTCCGAGTCCGGCCTACCGTCTCCTGCATCCTCATTCGCTCAAACGTGTAAATTAATTACTCATAACTATTGTTACTTTTGTACCGCGGCACATGAAATTTCTCCTTAGTTTAACCCAATCTACCACTATTTTTAAGTTGGCTACTTTTGCATCAGACACCCTGTATATATGTACAAAAGGATTAGAGGTGTTAGCGTCTTGCGCGTTCTTTCGCGAGCTCCGAAAAAACGGCAAGAAGTCCGGGCGTCGCGAGCGACGGAACAAAGCGCTCTCTCTGGCTCGCAATCCCTGAGCACAGGAAAAAACGTTTAAATGCCGCGAGCGGCCGAGTTTGTCACGCGACAAGCTAACGCGTGCTATTCGCCACCAAACTAAAGGCAGAGACAAGCTATCTTTTAATTTTCGTTTAATGCGCGCACAGAACTCACGGTTTTAAGTCGATCGTTATCGAAACCTTTTAGCTAGCGGAAGGCGCGAAGATCGGGAGTTATACTCTGGCTAGCTGAGTGCTCCCGCCTCTTCGAACCCCCCGGATCCCAAATTTCGCCAATCAGCTTTTCGGTTTTTCAAGCCGCTGCGCGCTGGCCGGTCGACCGGGCTATCAGCTGTTTTGGGCCGATGCCTTACATTTGTTTCCTGTTTGGACTCAGCTGATCGCGGGGTCGTCGGCCGTACCTTCGCTGTCGACGCCGATCGTCTCCCGCATTGTCTAGCGACCTAAGAGACAAGGGAAGCGTCGGTTGACGACAAAAACGCTGTTTGGTACCCGCGATCACGTTTGACTATTTCCTTATGAGGAAATTCGTGCGAACGTTTTATGATTCTCGCTTGCGAACCAAGGGTAACGAGACCTTCCTTTTATTTGTCGACGAACTTTTATTTCGCCGACCACTTTAACTAATATTATCGCATTTCGCCTAATGCGATTCTAAACATCCCGCCCGCCTCGTATGGTGAGCCAACGAAAGGCGTCTATGGGTATGGTCGATATATTATATAAAGAATAGCGAGTGTATGTAATACTTTAATTTCTCTTGAGTCCACTAAACTGAGGCTATTGTTTAACTAGAAATATTTCTAGTCTCACAATGCTCAAGAAAAATTTTGAAAGTAGTAATACCATACAAACGAGAGAAAAAAATGTGTACAAACAAAATATAAAGCAAAAACCAAAAGGATATGGGTTTAACCGAGTCGGGTATTAAGGTGGTCGTCACGGTAAGTACCCTTTTATTAATTCGGTTGTAAGTCGCGTGGCCAACGTCGCAATTCAACCTGGATTTTTACCCTTATAGAATGCCATAATGCTTCTACTTAGACTACGCGTTCCGCGAAAGTACCGAGGAGTAGGGTATATAGGCCGGTTCTAACTCGGGAGCTCCGAGGGGGGAGCGGGGCGGGGGGGGGGGGTTACCCCGCGGCGAGGGGACAGCGGGGAGGGGGGTACTCCGGGGCGAGGGGACCGCGGGGAGGAGGGGGAGCGACCTTGACGTCACGCAAGATGCTGACCTG